ATGTGGAAGAATATTGTCTTTGTTGCTGTGAAAGCTTAACTTGACATGTTATATGTTTCTCTCTACAATCCTATGTAGGATAAAAACCTCCACAAAGTTATGGCATACATATTTTAAAAGTCTACACATAAGCTTAAGAATCATTCTATATTAATTTTAGTTTTTAACATAAGAAGTCACAAAAATAAAATCTTAAATGTGCTCTTGTCATGACCCAATAGTGTAAAATGCCCTAAACAATAAAGTCATGATGATTCAGACCAAAAAATGAAAAAATGAAGCACAAAGTTTTGGGATTTTTTTTTCCCTTGAAGTTTTTCATCACCATGCTGATAGAGTTTTATCAATCACACATCACACTCTCAAAATATGGGCATTAGGGAGATGCTGTTTTGAATGTGTGCAATCAATTGAATCTTTAATGGAAATGCAATAAATATCTGCCTTGCGTTTTTCTCTCTGTAGTCACAGTGAGCTTCACATTATTAAATTTTCAAAGTATTAGCTAGGCTAAAGTACTATTAATCTGAGTTTGAAATTTTCTGACGGTCTCTCATGCTGTGCACTAAATTTCTCTTTTCTTGTGTAATTTGTACATTCCATCCTTCCCCATACCCTCCTTGAGAGAAGTAAGAACTCCACATCATAGTACCATCTTAAATCTCAGTGAGCATTCATTTCTATTTTCTACATGACTCCAACATTATAAGTAATCCTATACTAAGGCATAGAAGTATGTGCAGCAACTATATGTTTTTTTTCTTCTGTTAATGGAACACTAACATATTTTTTTTCCTTCTGTTTTAAGCCTTGAGTTTGCTATTGGAGAATGTCAGTTTCATATAAGGCGAAGGAGCTATTATGTTCCTTATGACATTTTAGTGACTAGAAACTTACATCTAATTTAAAATGCTGGTGACAACTGTTGTGATATTTAGGGGGAGTGGTCTTTATAATCTTTCATCTAAACCTATGAATAGTTAATGAAACTACTAATTTACCAAAGCTTCTTTGAAGTATTTAGATTTATGAGGATGGATCAAATATTTTCACTTATTCAGCTACATGGAGCAACCAGAGAAAGGCTATGTAATTTGTTGGGAAGAGTACTAAGACATGTTTGATAGATTTTATGCTTTAGTTGAAATTATTTTTCAGACCAAAGATGAATAAGTTTTAATTTGGAAACTTTGATTCAACTTGCTTGTTACAATTGTTTTTAATAGTCCTGCTCACCACACCATGCACTCAATATCTTCACAGTTGCACCCCCCCATTCAGTAAACTTCATTATTCTAAACAAGTTTTATTAATTTCACACTGTGGGAATACAAAACAAAAATCATAAGGGTTGTGTGATTTTTAACTATTAAAATTCTATCATTAGCCAAGATCATTGATAAATTCAAATCCTAACAGTATTCATTATCTCAAATCAAGA